CTACTTTTAGCTCCTGTGACCTAGTTTTTGACCGGAGATTACACATATTAAAACTTGACCTAGAAATCATCAAAACAACATTCATGACAAGTTTCAATGATATTTGGATCAAAACTGCAGCCACTAGAGTGTTAACCAGATTTTTCTATTTAAAGCTCCTGTAACCTAGTTTTTGACCAGAGATGTCCCATCTTCGACCTAGAAATCATCAAAACAACCTTCCTGACAAATTCCCAGAATATGTGGATATAAACTGCAGCCACTAGAGTGTTAACAAGGGTTTTCTATTTTTAGCTCCTGTGACCTAGTTTTTGACCGGAGATGATCAATCTTCGAACTTGACCTAGAAATCATCAAAACAACCATTCCGACAAATTTCCAGAATATTTGAATTAAAACTGCAACCACTAGAGTTTTAACAAGCTTTTTCTATTTTTAGCTACAGTGACCTAGTTTTTGACCAAAGGAACTTGACCTAGAGTCATCAAAACAACCTTCCTGACAAATTTCCAGAATATTTGGATCAAAACTGCAGCCACTAGAGTGTTAACAAGATTTTTTATTTTTAGCTCCTGTGACCACAATGCAGTAGTAGTCAAAGTCCATTTCACAGTCTTATTTTAGCATGCAAATAAAAGACAATGTTCAGATATGTTACTGTTCAGATACAAAGCACATGACCGCAAATCATTTCTTAAGCAAACAGGTCATAACATTGACATCACAAAAAGTGACTAAACTATGTATGTGAAGCTGCATATCCTATTATAGGCAAAGTAAAGTTGGTCTTTTCTATAAATAAAAACACACAAAAAAACCCAGAAAGTTTGTTTAATGATCACACTATTAATTCATACTGTGAAAATGTTTAAAACATAACACATAAACTTTATGTGAAGTCAAAACACATTTATCTTATATTTATAAAGAGACTGTGTATCCATCCATTGCTATGACCTGTCGCATTTAAATTTTAGCTTAAACATGGCCAATCAAATTAATATGAGCAAACTTGATAAAAGAGTAACTAAAATGCTACAGACAAAGTTTGGTGATCATCAGTAGCAGAAGCTGTTAAAAGGTTTTTCAATTTTTAGCTTTAGAGGCCCCTAAATGGGGCCAATCAAATAAACATGAACAAACTTGATAAAAGACTACCTAAGAATGCTACAGACAGAGTTTGGTGATCATCCATCAATCATTTCAGTAGGAAATGACGTTTAAAGGTATTTCTGATTTTAGCTTTAGCGGCCCCTAAAAGGGGCCAATCAAATTAATATGAGCAAACTTGATACACGACTACTAAAGGCCACTCAATATTGTTAAGAACATCACAGGGTATCCAGTACTTAAAGCTTTATAATCTAAAGAATGCTTTAGAAGATTATCAGAATGATTGCTATTTCCAAACACTTATTTGATGAAAAATATACCCTTAATGTATCAACCACATTTGATTTAAATTGTTCAATAGCCCATGCGTCAACTTCACGCAAGCACTTCTGGGACATTTCTTTTAGCTTCTCTCTTGTTTCCTTATATTTCCAAACATTTTTCTACAATAAATTAAAAGAAATTAGAAAATTTTAATATAATGTTTGAGTGTATCAATTTGAAAAAAAACCCACATGGGTCTTTCTTTCCATACCATTCGCTCCAACACCTCTGCCTTCATTTTCCCGACGGAAGAAAAGTGAATACATAATTAAATACAATCATTCTTATGTCTTCAGATTGGACATCAATGGTGCAGTGAAGTCTTTCATGACATTGCAGCGTATAGCTTTCAATCCCTTTTTATACATGTATAATCTCTGTATATTTATGCAATTTAATTATCAAAAACTCAGAAATGCAAATACAGTCAAAGCTAATTTCTTGAAAGGCCTGACCCTGCAAAGCATCTCAAAAAGATTTTTTAAGTTAGAACTGATATATAGAGATGGGTCGAAATACAAGTTTCGCAGTTTTCTATAAAAACTACTTTATTAAGTATTGTTTCAGCGCGCCTGTCTTATAATAAAGAACAAAACAAGGTCAACTTTTGAATTTATTGGTTAATAATTAAAGGTAATTATACATTTCACTGTACAATACGGAAATATATTTGGACGAGTACACAGCTTGAAAAGTCATATTGGACGAGTCGATAGGGGAGTCATACATGACATTTCAAGCTATGTACGAGTTCAAATATATTCCGTATTGTACAGTAAAATGTATAATAAACGTTTTGTTATATAACTTTTGTTTAATTTGAAATATCTTCATCATCATCATCAGCATCCCCACCTAAACCACCACTAATATCATCATCCACATCACCACCATTATGCGATTCAGATGGCAATGTAGCACTCAACCATCGCATATATATTCCAACGTCTGGTTTAGTTTTGCTCACAAAATCAGAAATTTCTTGGTCTGTTAACATTTTGCCTTTTCAACGCTTTCTGGTCAGCAAGACCATTTACAAGCTGTTGTAAACGTACAATAACAGGCGTCTATATGCAAGCATGGTTCCCGGTCTTAAATTTGTAAGAGATTGAAATCGGAAACCAGACCAGCATCGTTTAGTGCACATGTACTCAGCTGTACTATATGAAAATAATATTTTTTTTGGATCCTATATATTGGATGTCACGAGGTACACATGGAGATTGGTTAGATTGATTAGATATATAATAATTTTGACTATGAAGTCACATTATTATGCTTATATACATGTATCAAGAATTGGTATACATTTTATTTGTCTACATGTAGTTCTTGGCATCTTATAAATTTAAAAAAAACAATACTGATAAAGTTGCTGAATGAAAATCAATGCACACAAACAAACAAGCCTAATTCGCATTGTTTACAAGAATTTGTAACAGAGTAACCAACGTCGCCCGCCTCAGGGAAGTTTTATATGAAGCATAAAATTGTGATATTTCAGAAAATTGAGGTATGGATCTCAGGCCTTTCAGTTCAAAATTTTATCAAGGCTAGATCAGCAAATGCAACAATAAATCTATTAAATAAATAAAATTAAACACAGAATTTAAAAATCTATCATGTTAAGCTTTGACCTCTAAGTGAGATCTTGACCTTGGAGGTAGGAGTGCAGGTGTGTGCATGACATATTTTCTTATTATTGTAACTATTTGTGCCTAGTTTTTCCAAAATCCATTGAACTATGAAGCAGTTATAGATCGGACACAAAATATACCCTTTAACAGACTATGTTACTCTTTGACCTCTAAGTGTGACCTTGGAGGCAGGGACCCATGTTTTGCGCCTGACATATCGTCCTATCATGTGATTATTTGTGCAGAGTATTTCAAAATCACTTGATCAATGACGAAAGTTATTGACTGGACACAAAATATACCCTATAACAGACTATGTCAATCTTTGACTTCTAAGTGTGACCTTGACCTTGCAGGTAGGGACACAGATGTTATGCATAACATATCACCTTATCATTGTGACTATTTGTTCCAAGTGTTTCAAAAATCCCTTGATCTATGAAGAAGTTATGGACGGGACACAAACTTTACATTATAACAGACTCTGTTTACCTTTGACCTCTTAGTCTGACCTTGACCTTGGAGGTGGAATGCAGGTGTTGTGCGTGACATATTGCCTTATTATTTTGACTTTTTGTGCCAAGTTATTTCAAAATCCCTTGAACTATGAAGATAAAACACAAAATATACCCTTTAACAGTATATACTAATTTTATCCTTCTTAGTGTGGCCTTGACCTGAGAGGTAGGGAGGCAGGTGTTGCGCGTGACACATCGTCTTATTATAGTGACTATTTGTGCCAAGTATTTTCAAAATATTTGATCTATGAAAAAGTTATGGACCTGACACAAGATTTATTCTATAACAGACCATGTTGATCTTTGACCTCCAAGTGTGACCTTGACCTTGGAGGTAAGTGACCGGTTGTTGTGCATGACACATTGTCTCATTATTGTGAACGTATTTACAAAAACCCTTCAAAGATAAGAAAGTTATGGACCGGACACAACATAAACCCTTGAATAGACAATGTTGACCTTGAATGAGCAAATGCGACCTTGACCCTGGATGTATGGGTCTTTTGCGCATGATACATCGTCTTATTATAACAATCATTTGTGCCAAGTAATTTCAAATTCCTTTGATAAATGACAAAGTTATGGGCTGGACACGAAAATGTGACGGACGCCCGACCGAAAAGAGATAAAGGGTCATTTCTATTGTTATTTTCTTTTGTTTAGTAGAGGGCCATGGTCCCTTATTCTATTGTTACGGAATGAATTATAGTGTTCACTTTTGTTCTGTTTACAGTTAGATGGCCCCTATCCCTATTCAGTAGTGCGGACAGACGGATGGATGGATAGACGGAAGGAGGCTATTTCTATATCCTCCTCTTTTCTTCAAAACGGCTGGGCACAAAAAAGAACCGAAATAACTGTAACTTAGATAAATAACATCAAAATAATTAAAAAGGCATTGAAAGAGATATATCCGGCTTAATTACTTACATCCAGTCTTTTCTCAATCTGATCGTTGTCCATATTCTTTAGGAAAGTATTGCTTTCACCTTCCGGTCCAAGGCTAGTCAACATTTCTCGAATAACTTGTAAAGAGAAAAGAAGCAAATACAGACTGGTGTAAAAATATAAGTTTGCTTCTTAAAAAAGAAGCATAAGAGAAGTCTTTTACAGCTGTGGAAGGTTTGTTTAAATCAAAATATTTGGAGATATTTTTGCATAAAAAGCACAATGAATGCTTATAAATAACAATTGTTTAACAAAATAGAGTTCCCTTCAATCACCATATTTCCGAAATAAAGACAAACAAATAAAATGAATTACTAAACTTGTAATTTGTATGTAGCACTTGGACAACCGGCTGAATTCAAAGAGCGGGTAAGCATTAAAGCATTCTATAAATCCAACTTTAGCTTATACAACATATATAAATAACATATTTATGCATATTAAAGAATATGACAATCATTCACAATCCTAATGATAAAGACACTGACAAACGTTCTCTTAAATTATACTTAACATAACCGTCTTTAGCACTTTCGCTAGTCCAGCGACCATGACGTTTAAACATCCTGTCTTTAATTCCATTATTTGCCGCCGCTGAAGCTCCACCTGCCCTTAACGAATGCAGGCAATATTTAGAAATGTCACTTACATGCGGCATGAAAGCTAATCTAAATTCATCTCTCAAATTAGTATATGACATTGGCTTATTAACTGTCCTTTTCTTAAATCCATTTTTGGTCTTACTAATATTACAAAACAAAAAATCACTTGAATCTAAATTAGCCCATCTTATATATTTTTCAAGATTAACAACTGGGCATAACTTGGTACCAGTTCTAGCTATCAATATCCAAGAACCATCTCTGTATTTATCTGTCTTACTAGTTTCAATAAAAAGTGCCAAAAAAGTTGGATAAAATACTAAATCTGAAACAACAATGTTTAACAATTCAGCGCTTCGTAAAAAACCTGAAAACCCCAAAACACTAGCACAAATTATCCGCTGATGTTTTAAATCGTAAGGCTTAAACAACCTATCATACATAGCGGAAAGAATGTCTACAGTCATAACTTCTTTCTTAACCGTTTGTTTTGCTAAAATTCTTTTAGCTGCCTCAAGGATATTGGTAACTAAAGAAGAACTGGTTGGAGAACGCACACCATTAATATCATGAAACCATTTTAAAGAATAATAAGCACTAATCACTGGACTTGCACTATTTGCAGACTGAATTAAAGATGTTAGATACAGTGCAACCGGAAATGCACTGGCAGGTAAAATATCCCCACTCCCCAAACCGTTACTAAGAGCCCACTTTCTCCATCGATTAAATCCATACTCATACTTCCGACTAGTTCCAGGTGCACGTGACAATAAGAGAATATCCGGGAGTAGTTCCACTTTGCCCGCCAGGACTTCCGGAAGCTCTTCTATCTCATCTTTGTGACACTGAAAAAAGCATATTTATGAAAGAAAAAATAATTAAATATGTGTCATCTAAATACAACAGTCTATAAACAATACATGTAATTACATAAACACTTGACTAGCGATACCGCATGTCAAAAACGGCCGTCTGATACCAAATCAATACTGATTGTTGGCCATCCCGCCTATATACATGTGTAATCTCACAAAAAAATGTGTAAAATCAACATATAATGCTAACATTCGAAATTTTAGATTCATATTTCCAAAAATTCCTTTGCCATTTTTACAGCTTACATAATATTCTTTACCTACTGGCAAATATATCCAATTAATAATGGCTTTTATAAACTGTCCATGCGGACAAAGAAGAGGCCAAAAAGGCGCTGACTTCCATAAAGGTACAACTAATACCCCCTTTGCCTTATCAACAGACTTTTTTCTTAAGACTCTGTAATTGATACTTATTGGTGGCACAAACAGGCCAAAACTATCACCCCAAAATGCTGTGAAAGCATCAATGCCATAAGACGAAGGATTCCAGAAACGAGAGTAAAATTTAGAAACTTTAGCATTATGCTCCGAAGCAAACCAATCTACTTCAAAAATACCATATTCATTTTGCAGAGCAAGCGCAAGTGATGATGAAATACCCCAGTCATCATAGTCTAAAATTCTAGACAAGAAATCAGCTTTCTCATTTTCATAACGCGGTATCCATTCGATATCCAAAACAACAGAATTTATCATGCAAATTTTATATATAGCCATTGCAAATGATTGAAGATCTGATTTCATAGAACCTTTAGAAACTATGGAAACTACGCCCTGATTGTCTGTAAACCATTTTACTCTCTGATTTGCAAGCAAATGTACCATTGATTTAAGAACCCTATAGACTGCGACAAGTTCGCGCCATGTAGAGGACTTAGCAGATTCCTCTACAGACCAAATACCATGAGAAACACCATCTGCTGTTGTTACAATATACCCAGCATAGCCAGTACTACTTGCATCAGAATATACAATTTTCGTACATTTGTGTGATTCATAAATATCTTTACCATTTATACATTCCAAATGCTTCTGCCAAAAATCAATCTGAGACAAACTTTCCTCTGATAAAGTAATATACGAATCCCAACTAAACGCCTTTACTATATCAATACTTAAACAACGTGTCATTATCTGAGTCACGTGACCAATCACGATTGACATTGAAATAATTTGACCTACTAAGCGTGTTCATTTTATCACGCCTACGCGTCTGTGTACTTTAAGCGACGTAAAAATATCGGCTATTGTATTTTTAACCTTGAGCATTTTTTCTACGGGTACAAAAATCCTGCCGTCACTAGAATTTAACAAAATACCTAAAAATACCAAATTTTGAACGGTGACCACACCAACTTTTCTGCATTAGGTATAAACCCGGAAGAAAATAAATCATGCTTTATTTCCGCCCCAACTTTAAACGTACTCTCATATGAACGGTTACAACAAAAACCATCATCCAAAAACATAGTAACAAACTTGCCTTCACCCCTCCACTTTGAGACAAGCGGACTTTTCAGTTTTGTAAAAACATAACAAGCTGAAGAAAGACCAAAAGGCAGAACCAAAAATTTATAATTTTTAATGAAATATGACCAGAATAATCTCTCCAAGAAAAACCTAAAAACTCAGTATGTGGCTTGAAAATTTCAACAAAGTGATATGCACTAGTGAGATCAAATTTTATCATAAAATAATCTTTATGTAAAAAAGCTAGGGCAACTTTAATATCCCCATTTTTCACTGACTGTTTCCATAAATGTTTATTTACAACTCTTAAGTCCAGAATTAATCTTTTCTTCCCAGAACTTTGAATAGAAACGGTCAATGGATTAAATATATATGGAGTTGAATCACATTTTTCTATCAATGCCCTATCTAACAAATCATAAATAGCTTCACAAACAAATTCAGATTCCTGTTATGCAGACTTGTTATTTTTTACAAAACTTCTTGGAGGCACAGTGTAAAAAGGACTTTTATAACCAGTTCTATCAAATCTAATACAAAATTACTGGCATTTAATTCTTTCCAAAAATGTAAATTTTTCTTTAATCTGCCTTTAACAATGATATGTTTTTGACCTTGTTCGTATTCATAGTAATCATTGGTAAAACGTTCGTAGTCAAAATTATACTCATCTTTCATATCTGAATTACTTTTTGGCGTTGAACTGTTCTCCACTTCCACTTCCTGCTTTGACAACATGGGGACAATCTTTCCGGAAATGACGGAAGTCTCCACAGGCAAAACATGATCCTGTTGCAATGGAATTTGTACCGAAGAACGGACCGCCTGATGCTCCTTGGTAACCTCGAAAGGATTTGACTGGAAATGGTTGCTGCAGCATAGGTCTGTTTTGAAAGGCAGGAAATGAAGGCATAACAGTAGGTTCGTTGACACGACTAACAGTCGCAGACGGAGGCTTACTCTTAGATAACGGGCGCTTCCGCTTGAGAGCTCTATTTTCGGCCTTGTAAATCTTAGCTTCATCCTCACTGTCGCTAGCTATCGGGTTAGCTTCGTACAATCTTACAGTCTCTCAACCGTTTACAAAGTTTGGTTGCAATTTCTGTCAATAAGTCCATACAATAATCGTCTTTATTATGCTCTAAGGCCCATACAGCTTGTTTGGAAACCTCTTCCAACTCGGTGTTAAATTCAAATTGTACATTATTTCCTTGAAATTTCCACGTTATGTCTTTAGCAGTCTTTAACTTTTTCACCTCAGAACTAACGTTGTAGTTACTTCCTTGAAATTCTTCTCTTAGCGCTGAAACTTCTTGTCTCTGTTGACGTAATTCAACAAGAACTTGCTGTAATTGCGTTTCTAGTTCTGCACCACCACCACGTGGCTGTTCTTTGCTCATAATTACACAAGCAGACGAAAAAAAATACGTTTGTGTATAGCCGGCTGCCCAAAGCTGAATGAGCGATATACACTTACTTATTCAACTTAGAAAATTACATTTTATTATACATATTGAACATAGTATCATAATGAAAATTTGATTTACACTTCATTTAAAAAAAAAAATGTTTGAAAGACTATATGCCCGAGAAATGGACATTTTCTTGGTGCATCAGGAATACTTTTCTACAAAGGGAACAATTTATGTTATGTTATCAAACTTAATTTAAAATAAAGCTATATATTAAAAGTAGTATCAAAATAAAAGTTTCTTGTAAAATTCAATAATCAGATTCTCGATTAATGTTTTGATATATATGGAAACATCTCCTCTGCAACAGAGATTTTCCAAAACAGGCATAAAGTATGTTAATCAAACAATTTTAAGTCCCAGATTTACATTAAAAATGTTTATATCATTTGATTGGAATAAACAGCATATAAAGCTGTATCATCATATGAGCCTCCATCCACAATTTTTGAAGAGAATCAAAGTTGAGAAAAATTTGTGCCATTTGCTCCAAAAAATCTCTTTGCGTCATTTAGTCATACCGTTTCGAAAGTAAAAGGAGCACCAAAATTTCATTACACGGTTCACTCGGTCATATAATAGAGCATGGTGATATCTTAGCCATAATGTTCACTGTTACTATTTTTCGGAACATGAAATAGTAAAACGTTATTTAGAAAGCAATAATCGATTTATACAGCTTAAAACCGAATGAACCATTCACGTAGTATAAAGTAACGTAAATGATATTTTCCTATTTTTCTTAGTACCGATTTGTTCACTTCGTTTATTTTTCATTTCAATTGAATCGTATTTTGAAGTGGAGCATGTGCATAGCAATTTTTGTAGACTGCTCCTAATGGTTTCATGCGTTAAATGAGATTCATTCACTACAATCAGATACGCAAAAATGGATGCCGCAAGCAATCAGTGATAGCATGCTAAGTTTCATTATTCAACATTAACATTCAATGCATGCAATTAATTAAAGTTAAGCTACACACTCATGTTTGAACAGTGCATATATGGCATTTTTGTCTGTTTTCAATTCTAAATTAAGCATTTTATATATTGTATAATAATTTTATGTCAGCGACTATTTATGGAAACTTTTATGGGGGGGGGGAGAATATAAAATACCTAATATAAGTGATAAGTGGAGATTTCTGCAATAGATACTAGCACTCCGGTTTGTAGAAAGACAAATAATAGCAAGTTAAACATGAAATGTCTTCATTCAGATTTATAAATACATTTTCATGAAAATTTTCTAAATTCTACTAAACTAATTTAGAGAAGACTGTCTACAATTTTCTTGGTTTTAGCAACAGAGGAAATTATTTTATCGTTTTACTTTGATATAAAAGATAATAAACAAGAGCTTTTGGAGGACAGCAATGCTCGATAATTCAATAGAGTTGTTACAAGGATGTTTCATTGAGTATAAAAAGGGCATAAATATGTAAATAAGTAAATCAGTGTTATGGGACCTGTGTCAATCATGTTAAAAAATCACAGTGAAAAAAATGTATGTTAAGTTTCCTTCCATTCCCTTTAGTAGTTAGGGAGATACCAGCTTACAAGCCAAAAGTTAACCATGAGTTTCATTAAGTATAAAGGGGCATAAATTTGGAAATAAGCAAATCAGAGCTGTCCGATGACAGCATGCTTGACAATTAGAACATTAATAAAAAAATGGCATTGGACTAATGGAAAGGTTTGAACAAAGCAAAAACACTTTTGAACAAATTGCAATGTGTAAAGGTGTCTTAATAAAGATGTGAATAATTATGATAGCAAAAGTACTTCTGCACACAAGAGTACACATTAATTATAAAAAAGGCCTCTACCTGTGAACAAAAATGTGTAAAAAGAGTAAAATATCGGGAACCCGTTTTTCTGTTTATAAAAATACATGCAACAAATTCCTTTTAAAATGAAGGAACAAGTCAGCAGTTTTGTAATGGACGTGTTGGAGTTTGAATGGACAGTCATGTTAGAAAAGGAAATGTATTGAGAGAAAAATACCTTTGGAAATGATAATGATTGCTCTATAATAATTATTGCACCTTTATGTTGATATAAATAAGTTCAAAAGGGGGAAAAACAGCCTAAATGCAAGATAGAATTATTGATCTTGGTCAGTGACCTACAATTATGACCTTCAATGCATATGTGAAGTTTTAAATAAATATGTTTGATAGTTATAGAGATATGTAAAAATTGCATGTACACATTAACCAAGAGACTAAGTAGAAAAGGGGAGATTAATCAGCCTACATGCAAGATAAAGGTATGGAATTTAGTCAGTGACATACAATAATGACCCTTATGCATATGTGAAGTTTCAAATCAAAATCTCTGATAGTTATTAAGATATGTAAAACCTACATGTAAACATTAACCAAGAGACAAAGTAATAAAGGGGGAGATAAATCAGCCTAAATACATGACACAGATATATCAGCCTAAATACATCACACAGATATGAGTGCTGTTCAGTGGTCATTATTTATGACCACAAATATACATATGAAATTTCAAGTTTGTATATGCAAAACTTGCATGTAAAATTGACCAAGAAAATGAGATTCTTTTAGTACAAAAGGGATCATAACTCAGTCAAAATACATGGCAGAGTAATGGATCTTGTGAAGTGACCTTCAATTATGACCCTAAGTACATGTGTAAAGTTTCAAGTAAATATCTTTGATAGTTCATAAGACTTTTAACCTTTAAACAAATTCTCAAAGCCGCATAATTCTGTAAATATTGTAGGCAGAGTTATCCAACTTGTCAATCCAACTTGTCAATCTGATGTACATTGTTATTATAAATAAGTTTTGTAAGTTTCAATTGAATATCTCAAGCAGTAATTGAGATATTTGACTTAACAAAAACTTTAACCAATGCAGACACCGACGCCGGGGCGACTGCACTAGCTCTCCATATTCTTTGAATAGTCAAGCAAAAAAACTAAAAAAACACTCGGCTATCTGATTTTTAGCCAAGAACTAAATTCCAGTCGGTCAAATTTATCATCTTTCTGTAACGTTTTTTTAATAAAAGAAGAAATGATTGCAACCTAGACATTGTGTAAAAAAATATACAAAATTCTAAATAAGACCTTTTAACTAGCGCATCGTACATTTAATTCTTTAATTATACACATGTGAAATAAAAGCCCTCCTTTAATTGTTTATATTCCTC